ATAAACACACAGGGCAATGTGGTGTCAGAGATGTAGAACAGCTTCAAGGCTGCTGCGGTGAATCACGTGTGATGTCAAATTAGACAGCGACCATCAACAACAGAACTGTTAAATAATTTTACAAAAGATAAGAATCTCAGATGCTCAAATAAGAATCGATAAACTACAACCTCTTTTACAGTTTCAGAAACAATCCAGGACGGACCTTGATGCACCCGGTTCATCTTCAGCTCTCTGTGCACCATGTTTCATGCTACTCAATCTGATTTACAATTAAGTTTATGAGTGAAATTAGCATTTGAATCCCCTCCTTCTTTTCAAGTATTCCTACAACCTGACAATGCAAAACAAAGTTTTCAGCAGAAGTAATGTTTGTTTTCAATGCGCGTTGAAAACTACTCCGGTGTTCTTGTGCTGGGGAAGGTGGTGAAATTTGCAAGCGAACCTTGAGTTTAGAGCCACAGATGGTGAAGTCGACAAAAACATACTTACTTGAGATTATAACAGGAACTATAATTAGCTGTGACATGGGCGTGACCCGCATACATAAGATAAACATTCTGATATAAAGACAATAACCAAACAAATCGCTCCACCATCTTTCCTTCAGGATGGTTTTCACACACAGGATTTCCTCATAACTCATAACATAATCCTGGACGTGTCATAACAGCGCAGATGAGCCACTTTGCGATTACATCAAATCAGTGGTTTTCAGATTCACACACAAAAGCACCAGTATGTGAATTATTATTACTCAGTAAGGCGATGTGGGCAAAAACAGATATTGAGAATGAAATGAAATCAATAATCAATAATAATTACTAATAATGTCACATTATTATTTCTTATTATTATTATTATTTCTTCTGAGTTGAAGGAGAAGTTGTGGTTTTGAACTTTTTCTTTAAGAATGGAGAATCACAAACCTGAAGTAGATCAATGATGTGTCACCTCCTCCCTGTGCTGATGCATTTTGGACTTTTGCTATTGATGAAATTTATAAAACGATAATTATTGATTGTTTATTAAACATCTAGATTAGTGATGTCTTCCATACTTCTATTTGAACTAGTCACACTGAACACAACTTTTAGCTAAATGACGGATCCCAGTGTCTTATTAGTGGGTTGAACTTCCATCGACCACATCTCTGACTATAATAAACTACATGTAAACAACCAGAGGGTGAAAACACAACATGACAATTCATTGGTCATAACTCTGTGGTTTAATAACCAAGGGAGCCCGCTGGTTTAGCTTGAGGAAACTAAATGAACTCAGCGTATTTCAACGAGAGTGAACGGAGGAACACAGATTGCAAACGTACACACGAAAGAAATAAATATCGTTAAAGTGTAAAAGCGGATTCAAAGTGAAGGTAACAGCGGCTGCTAACTTAGCTTCGGTAGCCCGGTGCCGCTAACTGCGCAGTTGAAGCTAGCTGTCCCGTTACTCACTCCGCGGACTCACCGCTCCGCAGACACCGAGCCGGGCGGGTTCAGCTGGAAGAAGCACTTTATTCCTTTGTCATCCGACGTCTTCGTGGAAGTTTTCCTCTCCCTCCGCAGGCGCTTGTTTTCGGGGAGGAGCGCAGCAGCAGCGTCGGTGTCCACGGGACCTCTCTGCGGTGACTTTTGTTCAGGCGGCGTCGGGACACTGAACCGCGCCTGGGTGTTTTCAGCCGTCTCCCTGGCAACACCGCGGCTCTGCGGCGCCCCCTCTCTGTCAGACACCGAACTGCTAGAGAGGCTCTTCGCACGAGCAGGTCAAAAATATTACTGAGGTCAAAGTATTCAAGTATTCACGTGTACAAGTGGAGTTCACAGTATCAGAAGTAAAATAAAAACACGTCATGCAGAATGTACATATTTTTCTATGTTTATTATATTCCTTACATTTAAGTATTATTATCCTTGTACCCAAGTATTGCATGATATATTTTGACTCTTGCTGCTGTCATATTGCA